CAGGAATGCTCTACAGAGTCTTAATACTTTGGGTTAAAACAATTTGCTACCACATGCAAAGTAGGATACGTAATCCTGGTAATAAATAGGTGCACGTGGAAGGTTTGTAGAACACCCGCAGTGTTTGAACTGACTGCGAATAAGCCATCCTTAGAGTAAAATCACTGATTGATTTGGCTCCTTAATTTTGGAGATTCTTTTTCAAGTAGGTTACTGACTCTAGCAGGAGCTCAAATTGTGAAACTGGCAAGTAAGGTGAATGTAAGTCTGACTTCCCTTTCTCGTAATATTCTGGGAAGCTCGGGTCACCTCCAAATATCTGGATGCTGTTGGCTGTCAATCAAAGAAATGAATAATTTTCCAGCCAGATCACTCGCGCATGTGTATCCTGATCTGTCTGCGCTCTATATTGCCTGCAGGTTGCTCCTCTTACTAAAGGTCTTTGAGTAGAATTCATTACAGAGGATGGTAACTGTAATGGAGCACATACAGGGATTTGCTTAACGATGAATATAAATAACCTACACACACGTTTTCAACCTCATTTTTATTCTATTTTTGGTGACATGACAAGGGGGTAAATAACAGGTAACTTCAAATCTTTTTTTTTAATCATTAGTCCATTAACGGTTTGGTTGATCTCTGTCGTTTTTTGAAAGTTGCGTTGAATAAAAAAGGAAAATATTTGGTTGGTTCTAGTCAGTCAAACTCACAGTTTAGCATAGTACTCAGCACCAAGAGTGTTTGTGATAAACTGCAGGGGATGCTTCTGTTTGTATGTGTGCGTAGTAATATTTTGTTTTTAAGTCTCTTGCATATTCTGACTGTATTAGACCAAACCAAAAATGTTTTCAGACACAATCTGTTTGGAAACCGCTAGGTTTTTTTGAAAGTGGAGCGATAATAGGCCAAATACTCTGATTCAAAGCTTGCTAAACAAGGTAGCTTGCCACCTTGTTTTTCAACAGCCTTTCAGAAAAACCGTTTAAGAAAGAAGACACCTAGCATTCCAGGATTTGAACCCTGGGTTAGCAACACAGCTAGCAGTTCTGGTATTTCAGAGGTGTTTAGACTCCTGGCCACAGCGCAGGAGGCAGAAAGATCCTGAAAGTTGCCCATGAGCTGGATGCCTTTGATGTGATATTTCTATATGGTATTTAGGAATTTAGCTGCCGTGATAATTTTCAGAATTTCTGGATGTACTTCCAAAAGAAAAAAAATTTTCCCTTTTCCTTTAGTCTCCCATTTGTTTTTTTTTCCCCAGAATTACACATGAAAAGGAAATTCTAACTTCTGGCAATCTCTAACTATAGGTATTATGATTATTAGCAGTAACGAGCTTAGTTTTTCAGTGCAGTGCAAGCAGAAGATAGCATGTTACTACTCAGGCTTTGATTCACAAGGTACTTGCTCACGTTTACTTAGCTGGATTTTGGAGCTCCTATCTTAGGTCTTAAACCTCTAGCAGCAAAGAGATGCAGCTTGCATTCGTGAATATTCTGGGGGTGGCAGAAATTTTCATGACTTCTCACTAACCCTTTTTATAGCTCTATATAAATGTGGAACAGAAGGGGTGACAGAATGGCTCCCTGCAGTTCCCCTACAGTTCAGGATTTTTCAGGAACAGAAGAAGTAATCATAACTAGCTATCACAGTCTTTTTGGAGAAAATAGAAGTGGTGTCAGTGAGATTCCCACAAAGGTTTTCAGTCATCTCCCACAGTGCAAAGTATTGCTGAGCAGAGGTAATCTCTTCGTGGTGTTTTTAAGTAGGGAGTTATCAAGAAATAACATAGTAATACATCTTATGCATTTAGAGAAACTATAGCAGTGGTAAATGCAGCTATATTCAACTGAACAGACCTATTTTTGCATGTTAGCGCTATCATTCCTTTTCTGCTTCATTATTTCTCCCAGCTATTGAAGCCCTGAAGATTAACTCTGGATCTTCCTCTGTGAAGTTACACATGCTGCTGTGGTCAACAAACTCAGGGTTCCTTTGCCTTACCATCTAAGGTCAGGTGTGAGCTTGGCAGAAAAGCTACCTGACCCAGATGACTGAATAGCAATCTCTGATTTTGCAAGTTGCTGGATGCCAATAGCACTTTGTGGCTGTGTTATAGTCACAAGCATTCCTTACCCTGTGGTGTTAGCTATCTAAAGCTAACTATCCTGTGTAAGCTGGTCATTAGGAACTCCTTTTGGTCAGCAGAGACTTATGTGGGAAATTCATCTCACCTGTCTTAGGGGTCTGTTTTAGAGCCATCTACAAAGTCATTCACACAGAACAGTTTTCAGGAACTAGAGAAGTAGGCACAGAAGTACAAAGCAGACAAAATTTCTTGGAATTTTTTTTCCCTCCCCCCAGTTTCTTAAAATAAGAATCTTGAAGGTTGCTTGAAATGCTGTTGAGTAGAATGCTTTCAGACACATGGCTGTTGAATTCACTGCATTTCTTTCCATCCTACTGCTAGTATCATTAAGTACTTGAATACTACTGTAGTTCTTTACCAGACGATAATTCCAAATCATTTTAGATGAGCTCTGGCAATTTGTCAGAATGCAAGGCTTACTGTTTGCATGTGTGCAACTGCTGTTGCCATATATGCGTGCATACTTTTCAGTTAGGTAACACTAATTTGTTCTTTTGCAAAACTAAATGAAGTAGAAATGGTAGCGGCTTGTATGCAATCCCTTTCTGAGTGTCGGCAATGCAGCATAAGCTATCCAGATAGAACAGCTCCTGTGGAGGACAAAGTTGTACTAAAACAGCGTTATGTGTTAAGACTTGAGCAAGAGTTAAGCCACTATGTAAGTACATTGAAGCCACCTGCTAGAAATCATTTTGGCAGTGCAATGTTCCAAGAATTCTGTACTTGCTGGGTCTTTTCTGAGAGTAAATGTAATGTTATATTTTACAGTTTGTTTCTGTGGTGCCATCAGTGATTCAGTTCTAAGCTAAAAGGAGGTTTGAAAATGGTGTCTCCTCTAGCAGCCTGAAAACATTCCAGAAAAGAATTTAAGAGGCTTTAAGAATAATTTGTAGCTGTTATGCAAATTTGAAGTTACAGTCAAAGATAACTTATCAACGTCAAACAAAATAAAGTGCATTTGCTTTAAGGATCTCTTGAAATTCTTAGAGGTGATCTACTGGTAGCTGCAGCATAAATAGAGTGTAATAAAACTTTATTTACCGCTCCCTGTCTACTTCTGTAGTTCTTAGGTAGTAGGTTTTTTTTAGCATGGGTCCTTTTGGCCCCCAGGCTGACTTTGAATAACAGCAGAGTTCAGATAGTTACTTCCAATACAGGATTTATCACTAAACACTTTTTAAGTTTTCCAAGCAGCAGAGAATCTGACTTGGTTGTCAATATGAGAGAATGCAGTGATTCCCGTATTACTTCAGAAGCGTAGTTAGTTCAGGAGTACGGCTGAGTTCAGTCGGAATTCCATCTTGGTATATTATTACTGTTTATTTGTTTTAAATGTTAGTATCTTGAGTCTTCTGTTATAAGCAGGGTCCCTGTGCATACATTCCAACATGGTTGGGCAGTGTTTTTAAAAAATGATGAAATGGATTAAAGAAAAGCTTTATTACTTCAAAAGTTCTAATTATCCATTTGTTTTATATTGAACTTGATGAGGAAACAGCACAGGGGGAGAAAGACAGTTTTTACCCCTCAATTTTTTTGGCCTTCAGTGTGTCTGCCCAGTCAGTAAGGCAAATTAGAGCAGCCAGTCTGTATGTAACAAATAGCGAAGGGTGGCTAGCGTGCTGCACGTGGTGTGTAGCATTTTTACTGGTGCTGTTCTTTGGAAACCTTTTGTGTGTGTCTCATCCTTCTCTCCCGTCCTCCCTTCCTCCCCCTGCACCCGCCCCGTGCTGTGATAATATCTCAAAGAGGCTGAATAGAAGAGAGATTAAACATCTGATCCTGAGATAAAGTTGTAATGTAAACTGGCACTAGAAGGGAAAATGCTTTTCTAGTTTGTCCTGTGATTCACCTCAGTAGGTAAGAGCAGCCTTCTAGTACAGGATGTCCTGCTTTCTCCACAGTTGTTGTTCATTTTGTTTTGTTTCTGTTTGTTTGTAAGTACTGTGTGGAGTTGGGTTACCTAAATAAAGAAATTCAAGTTATGAGCGCTTTTTAGGTTAATGTAGTTTTTGTTTATTTTAGTGCAAATTATTACCCTTCAAAAAGCACGAAGATGGATTTGGAAGCCAAGTGTAGTGACTTGATTCCTCATCTCTTAAATCCATTGGGACTTTGGAAATGGATTCCCGTGGGCGCCAGAGGCGGCCCTGCTTCTGGGCTCAGCAATATAGCGAGCAACAGTCAGAATCCCTGCATTCGTAGAAACACGTTAAACCACCGGATGAAAACAACTATATCTCTTTCATATAACATTTGAGAGGGAGGGAAAAAAAAGCTAATAACTTTAGCTGCTTGAAAAATATCAGAGGCCCACTCTTTATTATCTTTGTTTGCATGAAAGAGTGAATAAAGCCTATAAACAGCCTTTAAAAATATTTCCACATTCCTGTACCAGAGTTCTTTCTAGTTTATAGTTTCAAGACCGACAGTCAATCACTGTTTTTTATCCCTGAGCGAATGTTTATAGCAGTGGTACTAAACACTTGAAAACAGAGTTACTTATAATGGAAGCGACAACTCATTTTTAGCTTTGGAGGAACAAGTGGTGCCAGCTTAATTAAAGCCGTGTTAAAATAGGACTGTCATTTGTATGACGCTGGTTCTCCAGTCCTCTGAAAAATCCTCCTGCAATTTTGTACCGCATACTCCTGTGCAAATTAATAGATCGTTTTGTTTTCTGCAGGAAATCTGAAGACTTTTATAGCAAATCCTCCAGTGTCAAAATGAATACAGGTATGCTATTTGTGTGAGATTTTTCTTTATTTGTATATGCTGTTGAATAAGCAGGAAAGGTTCCAAATTTATGTGAATGTTCACAAACAAATTATTCATAGTTAGCGCTGAAGTTAAATTAAACAAGATGTTTTAACAGTATGTCTGCTTATGTGCATTTGTGTCCCATATATAAAATTTACATACATGTTTTTCTATGTATGGATATATATGGCTATATAAAATATGCATGTTTAGTTTTCTGTGTTTAAGATATAAATTATGTGTATAAGTTTAGTATGTGTATGGTTTATTTAAAAATATTGTGTGATGACATAAAAGCCATGAAAAAGTGATGTTAGAACATCAGATTTTCTTTAGAAAAAGCCCATATGCTTTGAAATGTTTTATTTCCATTCTCTACTATCACTAAATTAAAAGATGTGCAAGTACTGGCCTATATTATTAGCTACACTTGCACAATCAGAAGAGGATAACTGTTTAATATTTATAGGGATTTGTATTTTCACTCAAACTGCTGCGATAGTATCATAGTATTAGCCAAATGAGGTCCTGTACGCTACAGAAAGTCATCTAAGCAGTCTGTGACAAGGTACTACTACGTGATCCCGAATGACTGAAGTGAATAAATAGCGCAGCTGTCTTTGCAAGTGGGAACAGGCCATTAGAAAGCAGCCTCATGGACTCCTGGCCACACTCGTGTCTTGCGTATATTTACAGTTAGTCAGCTCTTCCTCCTTCGTAGGTGAACTGTCCAGTTTGCAGATCAACTGTGGCGCAAGAAGAGAAATAACACGTACTCCCTAAACTAATAGGCTTTATCACTGACCCCAGTGCTGCACCAGTATAAACAAACATTGCTGCTTCCTTCACAGCTTGAAATAAACAGAATATGTTTTGCAGGACCTGAACTAGCTGCGAAGCCAGTTCAGGTGTTTCAGCGCCATGCTCTCAATCCCTGGAATTAGAGGGATAGGGGGATCTCCAATGCAACAGTTTGCCCTTATGTAGACTTCTGTATTTATCAGGCTTCTTGGCTTCCCATTGTCTCAGAGGACGGCTGGAATTCAGTAGGACTAGGATCTCATACAAATTTCTTACACTAAGTTAAAATATATATCGGCTCACTTGAAACTACTGTGTTTGTGAATACAATGATGAGCAGGACAAACAAGTTATCTTGATTGAATTTGTTTTTTTCCACCGTTTTGGTTGTTCTCCTCTCTCTCAGACACTAACTGGGGTGTTGGGGAAGGAGCTGCACAAAGTTTTGATAAGGATTACATTTACTGAAATACTATTCATATACTATACTAATCTGCCCTATTGTATTTTTTGGTGATGACTTCTTTCATAAATATGTCAGTCTGGGTAATTAAGGTAGTACTGAAAGACTCTTTACTTAGAACTGTAATTTCAGAAGTAACTCAGCTAATCATCACACATTTGACTAAAATTAGGTGGTGCATTGCAATCCTATGAGTTGAAATATGATGTCATCTTATAGCTTGTACTTTGAAAACTGTGGATTCAGTATCAGATTTAAATTACCAGTTTGTATTACTTCAGCTCTGAAATGCGACTTTATTGTTCCACGTTGTAGTGAGATTTCTCATGTAAGGTAGAAATTCTCAAGAGAAGTAGATGCACGATTTTAAGTCAACCGTTATGTCTGAATGACTTTTGTGGACTGTTGAGTCTTCTGATCGCACAAGAGACTTGAAAATCCAGTTGAAGACTTGAACACACCTGAAATGTTCTACAGTTACTGAAAGATACCATGATTTTAAGCTGAACTTGAATCTACTATGCACTTACACATCCAAAAACATCGTTTTTTCCTTATGTATGCTTGATACAGATATGGCTATTGCCAGCTATGCTAAAAGGAGGTATTGACCGAAAATACAGTATTTCGTATCAGTTCTGCTGATGTAGATTGCTTCCTGACTGCAGAAAATCCAGGAAGTAGAGCATAAAAGTGAACATCTTGCACCTATCTGTTGGTGAAGTATCAGTTTACTAAGGAAGAAAATGATTGAGGTGAAAACTGTTTTCCATATTTTTCTGGTCTAGATAGTTCTTCTCTTTTTCTACAGTGCGTTGTCTTTGAACGTGAAATGAATGCAGCAGTCCTTTTAAATTTGTGAATGTTTTGCTGCTTTAAAACAGGGATTTGTACATGACAAATTTGGATTTTGTCAGATATTATTGGTTTGCCAGGTGTTGCAAATTACAGATAAATGAGTACTCTAGGTTGATGCCAGTAGCTGTTGAAGGGGCAAAGGTAGTAGATGGTGCATCTGCAACTTTAAGAAGAAAATATAAATGTACTGCTTAGAGAGGCCTCCTCTAATCCAGTGTTCCTTGTGGCTGCAGACTTGGCAGTCTGTCTTGACCAACCCTGCCGAAGATATTTTTGTCTACAGAGAAAATGTTTTGAAGAGCTTCGGTTTTCATTACTCTACCATATATGGGAGGCGTCTTTTAGCATTTGATGTTAATTCCGTACTACATGTTAGGAGGAAAATTCAACAGCTGAAGGGAACTAAACATATTTGCAGAGGCAAGGAAATAGATATAAGCTAAAGGGGAGGTTTTAAGAAGTACCAAAGGCACTTTGGCTCATACTTCCTTTTGGTGTCATAATTAAAAATAGTAGTCTAATAAAATGTGTGCCTTTTTAAACCTGGTTAAGCAATCAGCAGAAGAATTTTTAAAAATATACGTAAGTCTTTTCATCTACAACTCTTCAAGCCCTTTGCCTGTGTCGTGAGCATCGTTATCTTTGTGAGACATTTTGAGAAACTAACTCAAAGAAAAGTTGAGCTGTGAAGTTCACTTGAGATTACAACCCAGGGAAAATGTGCTTATAATGCTCATATATATGTATATATATGCATGCAAAGCTGATGTTGGAGATGAAGTAGCTGCATTGAAGAATAATAAATGGATATTAGCTTATATGCAAAAACAGATTTTTCATATCCATCCATAAATGTTTTTGGCCAGTTTCACACAGATAATGCCTGATAAATGCATCTAATTTTAAAATGACAAACAAGTCAGCTGTTTGCAGTAAACAAAACACATAAAGAGCAGCCAAAGGTGAAAAGGTAAGCAGTTCTGGAAGGCTACAAATATTTGTTAAATATGTTTGTTAAATTTATTAATGTAAGTCATCACATGGACTAATCTGTTATATTTTTGTCTGGGAGACAAGAATAGACATTATTAAGTCCCTGCAGAGTTCCTGAATTGATTGTGAAGCCATTTTTAGATCACCAAAGCAAATTATATGGGCTTGATTGTTCAAGCCCTCTCCTACCCCCCAAAAAAAAAAGTTTTCAAATCATTGTTTGTTGTAATTTAGCAGCATCAAGGAACTGAATAATACTGGGTTCCCCTGCGTAGTCAGAATGCAAATAGGGAGTAGGATAGAATCTCCTTGGTTTAAAGACCTGGAATTTGAAATCATGGTACAGGGAAAAGGGGAAAATGATACCATTCACAAGTACAGTGAACAGAATAATGATCAGCACACATTGTTCGGGTACTGTTTTCCTTTTCTTTTAGCCTTAAGAGCCTATTTAAAAGGTTCCTGTGCCCTGATAGCTCATGCTTACCTCTTTGCGGAAGGTCACCATCCTTTCATCTGTGCCAACTGTGGCCTTAACTGACTCTCTGAAATGGTCTTTTTTTAAAACAAACAAACAAACAAACAAAAAAACCTTAAAAGAAAGTGGTGGTGTTCTGAACTGGCTCTGTTCAGATTTGGAGCAGGACTTGACCAGTAATCAAACCCGTACAAGCACAGAGGAAGGAATCTCTTAGGAATCTCTGCTGCTGCCCCCAAAGATTGGTCAAGCAGAAACTCAGCTCACTTAGGGTAATGCTGTTTGTAGCGGGAGCAGCAGCTGGGATTGTGAATTTGGGTTGAAGGGGTTTAAGCACTTGTAGAGAGTAACAAAATGAATGGAGGAGGGAGACAAGTGAGGAAAGGTAAGGAATGGAGAAAGGCTGAGGAGAAAAGACTGTAGGAGAGGAGTCAGCAGTGAGCTCAATGAAAGGAAGAAAAAACATTCAGAGCAATATTGTGGAGAGTGTTCTAATACATATGCAAATATGCACATACTTCGAGGTGTAGAGCAAGCTGATACCACTTACGTATCTTTTCCGGTCAGCAAATGTTTATTTTATGGTGGCACTTGGTTCCTTCCTGCTCTTTCTCTAAAGACAAATTTGCTCCATTAATCTAGCATTCAGGAAAGGAAGCTTGTCCCAATATGGTCTTGTCTTTGCAAAGTACTGGCAGAAAGATATATCCTCTGATAATTCTTACCCCTCCTTTCTCCCTTCTCTTTTGCAATACCTGCTAAGTATGCTTGTTTGTCTTTCCCTGGTTTGATTGGAGTATATAGGGTTTGCAAAAGAATATCTAGATACGTATCATAGTAGGTCCTGTTTTGAGCCAGATGTGTGTTTTAAGCAGCTGTTTTGATTGTGAATTATTGCCTAGCTTCCTATAGCATTATTGCACGCAAACCTTAACTGATTGAGGTCTCCTTTGTTTAAATGTTAAAACAATACCTAGGAAGACGTTACTCTCATCTCTGAATAATCCATTATCTAAAACGAGGTGTAAAAAGGACAGAGGGTGTGAACAGAAGTATGTGTGTATATGCATGCGCATGGGCACACATATCACATTTTTAAAATACCTGCAAGCATTTTGTATGGGTTAAAGTCTTGCAAATCCTCATTTGCTTGTAGTAACGGTTGCGTAATATTAATTGTTAATAGTTTGAAAATGAAATGAGAAGGTAATCCTTAATTTGACCTCCCTTTCTGTCTTTAGTGTTAGTATTTAGTATTGTGTTATTAGTATTTGCTGAAAATTTGATGGAGCAGTGAAAAAGGAATACAGACTGGAGTAAGCCTTCTGAAGTTCAGCTGTTTAAGAACAGGCAGAGAAGGGCAGAGAAGTTTGAAAACTGGCTGTTCTGAAGTAGCCCACAGATTCTTCTGATCCTCATTCAGACACGATACCCCTTGATTTAATGGGAGCATGGCTTGAACCAAGATTGGAAGACAGTGTCCAGATATGCAAATACTTGCGCACACATGCCTTTGTATTTTATTAGGTATTTTGCACCACTCTAAATGGTGTGCTTGTGCACTTATGTCTCAGTTTGGTGCTAGTTTACTCCCTTTCGTTACTGTTTGTTCAGATTGTTATTGAGAACGTTACTGCAGGTACAGGCTTGTGTATGGGCTTCTACGCATAGCCGTAAATGTTCTATGTGTATTCATATGCAGTAAATTGCAATGTCTGTTTTACTTACCTGTATGAAACCATGTCAAACACTTTGCTAGATAAGGGGTCCACAAAGCATAAAGCTCTCTGACTCAGTTATGTTACATCAGAAATTAATTTGAAGCAGAATTTTTTGAAGTTACAATGATGGAATATTTGTGTTGGATTCATTCTTCTACAAGATTCCTTCGTAAGGCGCACCTAATTTTGGATCGATATTAGTAACACCGGGTTTTTTCTTTGCCATGATTCTCTACTTACGCCTGCTTTCCTGCCACCTTGATTTTTCTGTTCTGAAATTCAGGAAGGTAGTTCTTGGAAAATACAAATAAAGTATAACTTTATTTGGCCAAAATATGTGTCAGCATAACAAAATTGTGTGTCTGGTAGCTTGTATTAATCAAAGTATGCTGTCCAAGTCTGGCGACATTTGGGTAAGAAGGAAAACAAAATATCAACAAATCATCAAATCTCCCTGGAATTACTGCTGTTTTGTGTCAGTAGAGAGAAAAATACAAGAATGGAAAATGTGATTTTAATTACCATTGCTATGCGATATTTATGTAAGCAAAATAAAACAAACGTACAGATTTGGTAACAGTTGCCTTTGCTTCACATGTTCCATACCAATGATTAATTCCAGGTAAAGTATTGCTTTAGATTAGTGACAGAAATCACTCAGCCTTTTGCATCACAACTAAGAATTGGCAGTGATTTTAGAACCACTTACGCTTGGGACGGTGACTCAGATATTTGTCAACATCAACAACTATTTAATGCACATCCCACAAGAACTGTGGCTGGGAACCCTGCTGTTTCAGGGGAGTATTAGAATGAGCAAGAGATACCAGGGGCTGACTCCTTTTGGAGATGTGGGTTAAAGATGTCCCTGTGGCTCAAATAACTAATAGTAACAGGCCTTCCTTAAGTATAATTTTATAAAACTTCATATTCCTAAAACTATGTTCTGTAGAACACAGGTCTAAAAACTGTAAGGGCCACTATGATAGTTGTAATTCTCCTTGACTTAAGTGGTGGCCTACATGAAATTCCAGCAATATTGAATATGAAAATTAAAGTTATGGTTCTTATACTGAAGAGTGGAAAAATATTCTAGTTAAACATACTCAGGAAGAATATTTGTTAACATGCTTTTGCAACTATAATGAAGTTGCTAGAAAGGGAAATCTTGGGAAAGCTACCCGCTAATAGTGACAAAGATCAAGTGCCATTAAAGACAGAATGTCAGCTCCAAGTGAAGGAGTGCAGAGTCAGTCAAGTAGAGAGACGTGAAAGCTGCACGTGCTGTGGAGGAATGTTCTGTAAGTTACTAGTTTTTACAGTGATTTTAGATTTCGATTTCTAATTATTTCCTCAGGATGTTATGGGGTTCCAGACTTACAGGTGTTTATTTTCCATTAGATAAAAAAGAAGGGCAGGGAGAGCAAGGATATTCCGCCAAACCAAAAAAGCACGTACCGTTCTTAGTAATTTTGTTTCTTTAGGGTCCAAGGAAAGGTACAAAAGCAATCTGTCAGCTACTAAAACATACGCTTAATTTATGAATGGTATCTTTCTAATGCATACAGTGAAATGACTTGCAGATTACTGATTAATATTACTCTGGAATGCGTAATCCTTCATCTTGATTAATTGTTTGTTCTGAGTAATTAGCTGCAAATAAACAGTCTTGCAGGCACCGGAATGTATGTATTTCCCCAGTGGATTAAGTGTCAAATATTTACTCATTTTCTGTGGGGTTTATTGGGTTTAAAGCTTGTGAAAGTTTTTGTATTCTGCTAATCTGTGAATTTTGCAAATTTACATGTACCTACAGCAGTTCCCTAACTGCATGTTTATTTACATGTACATATGGCATATCTCACACTGTGATATGTTGCATGTGCTTGCTCCCTCTGTCTGGGGCTGGTGTTTGTATTGTTTTGTGCTTCCAGATAGCGGTGGGTGTGCTCGCAAACGTGCTGCCATGTCTGTCACATTAACAGCTGTGAAGAGAGTTCAAAGTTCTCCAAACCTGTTGGCCTCAGGTATAACAACTAACCAGTGGTATACTACTCCTGAATGACTTTCCGTACTGTTATGTATTTCTGTAATGCTGTTCTGCAAGACGAAGGGTAACCAAATTTTCTGTTCTGCTCATAGGTCTGTTACTTAGTTCTTCAGTGCACCGAAAAGCGTGGTCTTAGTTTCTCTCTTGGCTGCACTAATCCAAACATTATGCGTTTGCACCAAACAATATGGGAAGATGAATGAAGAATGAGTTGAAAAATAGTTGCAAAATAAAGTCTTTGTTTTGTAGAACTCTTCACATATAAGACTGATCCACAGGAGTAAGCATTCTGTTGGAATTTATAGAACAGATTAAAAATTTGTTTGCCACTCTATGCAAGTAAGGATAGTAGAAGAGTCATTGGGATTACTGTGTATATAAACTTTAGAAAACATTGGATTTCTGTTTCATAGCAACTCTTGTCACAAATTTTTACCATTTTAGCATATGGTGCAAGCCTCTTAGTGTTTTGATTTTTTGCACTTACAAGTAGTGATAACAAGTGCTTTTAGGACTATTATATGAATAGATTAGGTTAGTGTTTGTTTAGAATGATCTTAAGTTTGTTTAGAACTTTTGTAATTTAAGGTTCTTTTATTTTTTAAAAAAGTATATATAGATAAGAAATCTTAAAAAAACAAAATTTTTTTTTAAACAGAAGTTCAAATCTATTCTATGGTGGTAGTGTGTTTGTCAGACAGGTTCTATCTTTTGCTTTGGACTGGTGAAGAAGGCCTATGGATCAGTGGTGGGGCGCTCCTCAGAATCTGTAGGCATCCTTCTTGGTTTGAATTAAGCTTTTCCGGCTGATCTTAAAGGAATGATATTTTGCTGATATCTAGATTTAAGATGGCAGTAAATCACAGCATTTAGTATAAGAAAACAGCAAATATTACTTATTGGCTCCATGAGATTGCAGTGATTAAATAACAGTAGCTCTTGGCTCACTGTAACCTTCTGCAGAACTTAATTGCTCAATAAATGCTAATTACCTATGCCATAATATTCTGAGGCATATTTAGGTAACAGAAGGGAAGCTGAACATAAAAATCCTATATATTTTATAGTCTTTTTCAAACTGTGTCATCAGAAGAAATTTACTAGTAAGAGAGGATTTGTCTTCATTTTAAAAACTGGATGTTTGGAGACTGTGACAAGTACCGTTTCACATACAAGATTAATTTTTACAGCTGCAACTACACTAGTGCCTTTAAAATGGCTTCTGAAAGATGTTAGGCCTTAATATGCAGCAAACTGAGTGATGATGCACTTGAAAGACATCCTTCTATGCATGCTTCTGTATAGACAGCTAGAGTTGGGGGGGAATATAGTTTTTTTTTTTCCCTCCATAGCACCATTGCAAAGTGTCACTGATACTCTTTGGTTTCATAGGTAGATTTTCTTGGTAACCATATCTACTGCAGTCTGTAAAAATATATGCATATATATCGGTGTCTGTATGTATGTATACATCTGTAGGTATAAGTCCCAGTAGGGTCCCTATAGCCCACCTAATTTTTAATAAGCACACAATTCACAGTGATTAGTTACTGCTTGGATCAACGGTTTAATTATTAAAAAAAAAAAAAAAATTACTTGATGACACAATATGGACCAGTTTTCCAGTTTTCCCCATGTGATATTAACATATTCACTAGATCACTCTAATGAGATTAAATTTGATACTTTATCTGCAGAGTCATCGCAAAAGAACGATAAATTAAGCATGTCTCATCACTCAGATCACCAAATACTGGGTCAAATTGCTCTACTGTTGTAAATATACACTATGGAATTGACCCTGTGATTCTAGCTCCGTGTTAAGTCACCACAAAGTATTCATGAGCAAGGAACTCAGAACTAGATGCAATGTGTAGTTCCATGGTTGAAAATGTTGTCACCCTTTTCATTGATGATTTTATTTCTAACACAAATTAATATTGGATGTTTCTTTTTTAGGGTCTGAATCTCAGTCTCCAGATTCAGGTAAATAAAAGACTGTTCTTTATGCATCAATATAATACTAATGTAATTGTTTTGTAAGTGGATAAATTATGATAAACTTCTGTTTATTTGATTTCATTCCTCCATGCATCTTCACTCTTTAAGGACAGTGCCATTAAATTTGTAGTAATAATTGCAGGTGCTTAAGACCTCAAATTCAGGTGGTCTTATTTGAGAAGCAGCATTTCCTGTAACGCAGTAGCATATTGTCAGAAAGTGAATTTTATAGAATTTATTTCTATAGAAATAGACTGCAGGTTTGCCACCTTTACCTTCAGTGGCACTTGCTGTGTCATGTTTAGTCTTTCACTCAGGAATGCATGTTCTACCCACCCGAGTGAGCAGCCTGCTCTCATATGTGTTTCTTTTCCCACCATTTTTCACTATTTTGTCTTCAAATCTGTAACTTGCCAAGGCAGGATAGTATTTTCCTCTATATATCTGGACAATATCTTGAGGGCTCTTCATCTTAGATGATGAAGATAAAATATGGTTGATTTGCTGGAAAGTGGAAGTGTTGTTCAGATTTGGAAATAAGATACAAAATTATTGGAACAATTAATCAGGTATTGTCGTGAAATTGCTGCGACCAGATAGCTTTACGTGAGCTGGGATATTTTTCAAAATCTATGACATAACTGTGAAAGTACTTTACCCTGCTTTATACAAGGGCTGAAACAACAAAATCTCAAAAGGGGACCTTAAGGCTTAAAATTCTTATATGCGTGAGTGTTATGGAGAGCATTCAGACTGCTGCTAATAGCATTGACAATCCTTGAGTTTTCATAATTTTAAAGATAGAAGTAGCAACTTTAGGCCTGTTCTCATAACTTCCTTGACAATATAAGCAGCAATGTTGGTTGTGTAATAGCTAAATGTTTCTACAGTTAATTTTAATAGTTGGGTTGCTTTTGATGATAGTAATATATAGATCTACTAATCACAAAAATTGACTTGATTCTTTTTTCTTTGCAAAAGCTTGGAGATCATATAATGATGGAAATAGAGAGACACTGAATGGAGACGCTAGCAGTTCATCTCTTACCGCAAAAGGTTTTAGGAGTGTGCGTCCATACCTACAGGATAAAAAATCACCAACTCAGGTAACCTGAACACTCCAAATTTCATGCTTTGGTATTTTGTGTGTGGGTTAATTTTGGGAAATATCATATACACAATGGGGTACCCCTATAGAACATCATCCTGATGCCTTCTAGGCAGTGCAAATCACCTGTTGATATGGGTTGTTAAGAACTGTTTTACTGCAGATAAATTATACTCTGCCCAGGGTGCATGTCAGCAGGTTAATGAATACAAATTGCTTTCAAAGAGCAAGATGGCCAGCTGAAGAAAGTAGGTCGTACACAAATAAAGTCTTCTAGGAGTGTTTCTAGACATCAAAGAGTATTTATTAATATTTTGCACTCCAGAGAAGTGCATCTGTCATCAAAACAATATCTGAGGAAAAAGGTATATTAATTTTAAGGTAGATAATGTTTCTGCTTGTTTTGCAGAACAATACAATTACAGCACATAAGTATGTTTCTAAGTTAAAATCTTTTTTATCTGTCAAAAAAAGATTAAAATTTCAATGTTATACTTCTCCTGTTACTATTTTAATTCAGAAGTTTTAAAAGATTGTTTACGTATACGTGTGTGAACTGTGAATAATAGCTTGTCAACTGAGATCATGGAGTAATTTTAGAAATGATTTACACATATCTGGACAATTTCGCAGTAATAACTCTCATTCAGTAATAACTATTTAAAAAAAAGATAAGACCAGACCATTGTGGGCTCCTTTCTGATCGCAGTTCACTCTTTTCTGTGAGCAAGTGGAATGTCTGGTTTTCAAAACACAAGCTGTACAACACTGTACACAGTGTCAGGAACCTGAACAGTTTGATTGAATTGAGCAATGTTGGGATGAGGCCTTAATTCCTTTTTTTGAAGATAAAAGTCCATCTTGAGTTCTATTTCCTGCTAACATTTGCTTTCTTTCTGTTTCTTCTTCAATGTTATTTTGCTCTGTGTGTGGATGCTTTTGGCAAATAAGGCACCTCTGCCACCCCCTAGAAAAGAAAGTTTTCAGAGAGTGGGAATAACTAATCACAAAAAGGACAGAATTAATCTCCAGGCAGTAACAACTGGGCCAACTAAACACCTTCCCACAGATACTGCCTACTGTACTAACGACGAGTCTGTCCAGAAGACAATGTCTTCTCAAATATCTAACACAAGTGTGTCCTATGCACAAAAAATCACTAAACCACTGGCCTCAATCTCCAGCGTGGGCACGAGCACGGTAGCTGGCATTAGTGCTACTCTCTGTCAAGGCCACAGACAACAGTCTCAAAAGCGTAGGATATCTACCTTGAAATTAACCCGGACACAAGACCCAGCAAGTAGCGTTCATTGTAATACACAGCAACAGCTCAAGCCTGTTGAAGTGCCAGTATTTCCACAAAGGCCTGTTTCACCTGCCTATAACCCTGTGCCTGAGATACACACAGCATCTCTTTCCATTCAGATAGCTCCCATCCCTGACAGTAAAGCAGAGCCTGAAAACCAAGAACATCCACCTAGTATTTCTCCAGACACTTCAAAGATGCCTTCAAAGGATTTGGGACAAAAGTCTGCAGTTCTTCCTTCTGCACAGGCTGCAGAATGCCGTGTGGTATATTTAACTTTTCCATCTTTTATTTTAGATCATTCATGAATCATTTAACTCTCTGTTTAGTTATGCTTACATGATTAAAGTTAGACCTTGTGTTTTCTGGGTAAAACTACCTGTTGGATCAAAACAGAACTGTACAAAACCTGAAGTTTTTGGAGAGATATTGCTTAAAAAAAAAAAAAAAAAGAGAGAGAGAGAGAGAGAGATTTCAACCTGTCTGAGCTGGAAGGTGGGCTTCCTTGTTTCTCTGTGAGCATTTTGTAGAGTGTAGATGCACGATAGGTAATTGGTGAGTCGTAGGTGATGCATCTGTTTAAATGGTCCTTCTAGGGACTGCATATTATGCTGCCATAGGTCCTGGAAGGATTACATGCAGAAAAGGTTTGGGTTTTTTTCTACAAATGCAGCTCTGCCAATTTGCTAGGCCCACCAAAAAACATTTTCTAAGTCAAGTTTGTGCATGCCGCAAGGCTAGTCACCACTGTCTTCTCTATGCCGTGTGTGATAGCCTTTCTAAAGAAAATAGGTTGGATGCAATCTTTTGAGTTCAACCACCTTTATTTCAAGCATCACAACATGTTGTTTCATCTGTCCCTCTCTGTGTACCCTATAGGACATGTACATTGTGCCTATTGTGAAAATTCTTTCTTAAGCATGCATGCTGATCTGATCTAGGAGAAATGAAAGTATCAATCACACAGAGTAGGAGATATGCCAGGGGTCTCACAGAAGGGACTGTATATTTTTTGTTTTAAGAGATGCTGTCAAGTATCATAGCAAATAATAAGAGTAGGAATATAACTTGTGTGTGCATGTCAGATAGCCTTGGTCTACTTTAAAATATACTTGTGAGAGCAAGGCCAAGATTTTTGTCTGACACACGCGTTTTGCTGTGCACCAGTGATGCAAATGGTGGGAAAGTGTTTCTGCAGTTCTTGTTTACTGTTATTAATTACTTTAAAGATACAAGTTTCTAAAACATTTCTGAGATGTCCAGGTGTATATTGGAAAAAAAATTCCACAACCCTCATCAAATCTAAAGTAGAGATAAGTTTCTATTTAAAACCTGTGGACCATCATGATAACATCCCTTTTTTATTATTTGTGTATTATTGGTCCTGTTGCTCTCAAAGTAGCTAGACCAGAAGGAATCTGATGGAGGGAAGGGATAGTAACATTTTTGGTGAGCAGTTCTTGAACATGTTCAAGGTGAAAAAAAACTCCAGATATTGCTGGCTGTGGTAGACAAGAGTCATATGAAACAACTGGGGAGGTGCTGCTCATACTGAAAGACTACAATGTGAACCAGAGAGAAGGCAGCTAGGTCTTAGGGGGGATAGAGGGAGCTTCTTAGGGACCAGAAGAATCTGAATAGGGTTTATTGCCGATTAGAAAGTTACTGAATTAGATGAAATAAGCCTGGGATCAGTGACAGACCTACAAGTACACACTGAGCAAAAGAAGAGCTCTAAATAAATTTCAGAGTAGAAATTGTCATTTCTACTCTGCCTTACCTAGTCATTTTAAAATGTTCTGTTTAAAAGAGAATTATTTAAATACCAAAGCAGCTTATCTGAATTTGAAAGCCCTTCAGTTGGAAATGGGTCTAGGCATACCTGCCTCAAAGCTTTGTCTGAGTCAGGATCCCATCACAGCATATATGAGTTCATCTAATTCCACTCAAATCAGGGGATCTGTCCTGATGTACATATGGTACCATCTTGCAAATCTAAAGTCCTCTGACAGTCTGTATTTGTCAGTAGCAACACACCTGCAGATGTAGTCCATATCTAGTTGTTACCATTGACAGACTGTAGTTCCTTGAGTGTCACATTCAATCGGATCTTTACTCTTGAAGCCACAAGCATCTGCATTAGCAGCAGAGTATTACCACAAGTTTTAATAAGTTTCCTAAAAAATTAAACTCCTCCAAAAACTCCCCCAAAAATTAAACTCTTCCAAAAATTAAAATTAAAATTTAAGCAAACAAAATGCTATGAAATTATATGGCAACAATGTGCAATACGCCTTTTGACTTCACTCTGTTAACTAATGGGAGCACATAAGAAAGAATTACAATCACATTTGTGCTTCTCAAGAGTAGAGATAAAAGTGCCATCATAAGCACTTCTATTACTATTGCATGAGTCGCTTGAGAAAATAAGTTGCTTTATACGTGAGAAGAGCCAGTTCACTACTCGGTAATTTTTGTCAAAAGCAACGAGTTAGTTCCAGTGAAAGCAACAGTGAAGAAATAATGTCAGAAGCAGAAATGAAGGCTGAGCAAAAACTTTTTGGTGGATGGGATAGCAAAGTGCAAAGATTAGAGGAGGCAGACTTGCAAACATTTTAAATACAGGCACTGAAGGATGCTGTCAGACAGCAGAACAGTCGTAAATGTTGCTAATACAAGTTACGGCTTAATATATTTTCTTTTCATTTAAATAGTAGTTCATCCTGTTCACAGTATGGTGCATCATATATGCTCAAATAAATAAGTCTCTGAAGCAGAAAGTCCTTGTATTACAGCTAGCAAATATTAGGGAAAACACCTTTTTTAACATCCAAAATGATATTTATTCAGACTCTAAATGACCAATAAAAACTTATTTTCTAGCTATTTTTCCTTAGAAATTTAAAAGACAATTTTTACTTTTTTTTATTTTTAGAATCTCTTTTAGTCTCGTGATGAAGTGACAAAAAAGTCGGAATGAAGTAGTAGTTACGCCTGATCTGACAGTTCTGCAAATTTATTTTTCTGCTTTCTCCTTGGTTTTGTTATGTAGGGAGAAAGGTTGGAAATATGTCAGCTGCAGTTCTTTGAATAAAACGATAAAAGTTTGAGCTGATTACAGGGGTCATTTGGAACGTAGTCAGCTTTTCAAGCCGCATCCATTTGTTGATCTATTGCCTGCCAAATTCAGCTGACGTTCTCCCTAATGTTGATGGTGGAAAATATTTCTAAACATGAGTATGAGGAGGTATGTCTGGCATCACAGGCAAGCAATGGAGCTAACGTGTTTTGCTAGTTCTGTGTTAAAATAATATACGTAAAACTAGAGCACAAACCAACGCGAGAGGTGTTGTAAACTTCTGCATCAGGTAGGTCCAAAGCCAAGATGCTTTGGGCCAGCGTTAGAAATAGAGGATGTAGCCACATATCTAAACAGATTTCTAGTTGAGATCTGTGGTGAAAATCTTAGATGTCTTTCAGCCGATGCCAACAATTGTGATCCCCTTTAGCTCTGTATCTCACGGTATTTATAAGGTTCACAATTTTTCTCTCACAGGCAAATCAGCTTTAGCGTGTATGGGTGATAGTGCTCTAATTTTAAAAATGGCTTTAGTTTTGGGAGCTCTACAGGACTTTGCCCAGCAGTTAAAGCATTCGTGTGTATACTGATCATAGGCTGTCGACTCAGAATTGCTCCTTGTTAGACTAAATCCTCTAGTGATGCTTTCAGACTATAGATTAGGCCCAGCAGCAGTGTTTAGAGCTGCCATAGAAACTCTCAAGAAATGCATCCAGAAAGGCACTGCAAAAACAAAGAACTCTGCCTCTGCAACTGGGTTTATGTATTTGGAAGGGGATGAGATGGGAGTGGCTAATTATCACTTCTTAAGAGGTAGTACATAAGAAATACAGAGCAGATTAAATACTGTTCATGTGTGTGGGTGTCTCTGTGTATTTAGTACATGTGCATTTATGTGAAGCCACAAAGGTATGGAAAAATACAGCTGAGTGTAACAGAAGAGATAGCCAATATGGTCCCATATGGTCCAGGAGGTTCATGTGCAACAACTTTGCAGTATTCTGGAATGTATCTTGTCATGATTGTGCTCCTATTTGTACTTCATTTTAGAGCTCATCTGCTGGAACTTTAGGAGCAAACAGAAGTGTGATCTGACTCACCGAGTGGCATTTTTGTAAACGCTCCTACTCAGAAGGGGTAAACCCCCTAAAGGCATACATAAAAAGAGAAGCATTCAAGTTACTTAAGATTGGGCTTTTACATTGCTACTGTCTTGAGAGATGCCGCTACTCTGTAGCGTGCTGCAAACAAGGGAAATACCCTAATCTATATGAACAGAGAAATTAGTATTTGTTAACATGAGACTGGAGATAAATGTTGTTGTCCAAATTTCTTATACACAGAAGTTCCAAACTGATGAAGAATTCTGAGCTGCATTTTCTGAAATAAACACCTGTCATTTTTAGCCTTTGTTTTGTTCCTGGTTCATCAGTGTCATCTTGTTCTGGATACCGCTCTCTAAAACTGAGGCTGCAAAACCTTGCTTGAATTCCATAGATGAATGAATACCTGGTTTAATGCTGGTGTCATGGAGGAACAAAGGCTATTACGCTGGATGTGTCTTTTGCCAGCCTTAGCTGTAGGCACGCCAGTCTAGGAAGATGAGCCTGAAATTCAAAAAACAGTTTCTAAATGGATTTGTGTAATACGGCCATTACTGTTGTTATGTATTGACAATGTACTGCGTAGTGCAGAAAGCAGAGCAGACAGGTTTCAACGTTTTGGGGACAGGCAGCAAGTCAAGAAAACTGAGCACGTAATTTTCATTTTAGTTTCTGTATCACTGGTGTGGTTTTGCATGGGTGCTGAACCACCTCCCTGTATTGAATTTAGAATATGAGGTTAATAAAAATGCACATAGGAATATAACTTGCAGCATCAATTTGGAAATTTTGATATCAGCTTACAGCAATGAAAAATAAGAGGTATTTTTACCCATTTGTGTAAGCGTGTGGGTGTAATTTGAATGTTGTCTACTAAACTTTGCTTATGTATTAACAGAATGAATTTATTCACCTGCCTTTGAATCTCCTCATGTGTGTGGACTGTTGAAGCAAGGCCAGCACTTTGGTGTTATTAGTAACCTTGCACCACTCCACAGATCTTACGTTAAAATGATAGGTGACTGGTTTAAAACCAATACTAGGGTCATCTGTCTAGTTCATGTGAACTGGGTGGATACTCTGCTTCAGGCCTGACGTTTTACTTTCCTATGGAAGGTGAACATTTCTAAGGAACAGCAAAAAGCCTTACTTGAGAACTTCAAATCACTCAGAAGACTGTGCTGATATTTATTTCCCTCTCTCAAGTGTCAGTAGTGAAACTGTATCTATCCGCTCCACAGCCCCAAGATAATTATGCAGTTTAAGTTATTTTTCATCATTCTGATTGATGAAATACTTGTTTGGCAGTTAATCTGCCTGACTTCTGCTAACGTTTCTTGGACTGTGACAATAACAAACCTATTCTGAAGCACACTGAATGGAACCAGTATTTAAAGATGTTTCTGAATGCATTCAGCCTGGTCCTTTGCATGTTTTTCACAGTGATGAAAAATACGCATTAGTAATAGTCAGATGTTCCTGTTATTTAGAGTTTACCAAAACTCATGTTGAGAGAGATCCATTGTTTTTAATAGTTTAATCTGTTTTCAAAAATGTTTGTTTCAGTCACCATTTCAAACACTCACACTACCACGGGGTAAAGGCTGCACGAGCCAGAATACTAAAGTTTTACTTTGCAAAGCTGCGAAACTTCATGTGGGGAATCAGTATCTGGAATTGCTGCATTCCTTCTACCCGCATTGTAAGGATGATAACGTTACATTCTTTTTAAGAATCTGGCTTGGTGAAATCAGCTACCGTTTACCAAACAGATTGTATTTAATTTTGGGGGAATCCAATTTCATTTCCTCTCTGGATGCACCCTGAATGTCCTTTCTTGTTTTGTCTGTCCGTCCTTTTCTCAGGCATGCAGGCAGTCATCTCAGTTTGAATCCAGAAGGCTTACTAATTTTCTTGAGTCTCCAGAGTTACCTGTTACCCTAACAATGTAGAAATGGATTTAGATGTTTTAGCTCAGACATGTCTGTCTACTTCTGTGGCTCCTGAGAAGATATCTGGTCTCAAGGACTTCAGAGCTTCATATTGGTTCTGCCTCCTAATTACATTACCTCCTGGTTCGTGTCTTTTCCTGAGGGTCTGGCATTGTGGCTTGAATAATGAAATTGAGCATGAATGATAGTTCTGTATTCCCATTAGATATCTAACTGTGAGCTTGAAAAGTTGTGCACCATTACCTTACCATTTTTATGTATGTACATAAATGCATGCATCTTAAGCCCCCTAATATGTTATGCTATATAACCAGCTGTTTAGGCTCTGCATGTGATTTCTTTTCATTAATTTATTTTAATAGTATTCCGTTGTTCTTTTGAAGTTTCCATTGACAAATTAGTTATCAGTAAAACTCAAATGTCCTTTTACAATCGTACACCCACTTAATCAGTTTTCTGAATTTGAAGTAATCTCTTTGGACTTTATGAGAAGCTGCCTTTCTGCCTTTTCTTTTCTTTTTTGAACTGCAGATTTGAAACATTGCTCAGATTTCAACTAAAGATTTCAACTTTAAACTGTTCTTACTGCTATAACTACTGATTTTTAACAGTAGCTTCTGGCTATTTTAATGTACTCCATAGGTCCAGTAATGCCCAACAGTCTTTTCAAACCATTTGGAAGACGTGATGGATATCTGTTCACTTGCTTAAGATTCTTTCTCAAATGTTTATTCCTACAGATGATCTTACCTCATTAAGGCTATTTGTGTAAATTCCAGTTGATCTCAGCAAGAATTATGGAGCTGGGCCACCAATGACCTCTAAGAAGCATTACAGTCTGGGTTGTGTTCCAAGTCTTCTATAAGGGCTTTAAAAGATATTTTCAGATTGTGGATTAAAATGCCAAAATGGCATTTTAATCTGTTAGATTAAAACATTTTCAAAAGATTAAAGATATTTGCATGCTCCAAAACATAGGAAATAAGCGTGGTATCATCAATAACAATGTGATACCTTTGAATAAACATTGATTTCTTTAAGTAGCAATTCCTCCATATTATACCTTACTGTCCTCTGTTTTATGTAAATTCAAAATCCTGAGTATTCTTTTCCTGAAGCTATTCAGGGGTTCCTCAGCTCTATCAGAAGTGAAACCATTAGTGCTGAAGTAGTTAGTATTTTGACATACTTGAGAACTTGATGGAAAGCTTGTGGCTGACAGACAATATAGAAGGATTTATACAGCTGTTTAACAACCATTGGATGCCAATATGCTTTTCATGCATCTTTAATTCAAAAAGAAGTTGTGGATACAAGACTAGCTCAAGCCCACTGTCCCACATCTGATTTGAAATGTGAGAAGATAAAAAGCTCATAGATTATGTGGCAAGTTTTTAGTAGTACTCTCGTGAGGATGTTCTCTTACCGAATGATGCTGAAGCCAACCAGTGTGTTTTGTTTCAGTACTAAAACATCCCTGTCCTGTTCTTCTGTTCCCAGTGCTTTTTCTTCCTCACATTTAAACCAGGTACCCTAATAATCCTTGTGTGCTCTAATGTCGAAAAGGCTGCTGTCCTTATGTTGTTATCCAGTAGGCTGGCAGGGTGCTTCCAGGGTGCTTGAAATTCTAAGGCCATCCGAACTTTTTTTAATCAGTGAGGCAGTGGAGAAGATATATTCAGTCATAAAAGGCTAAAAAACTCTGTAATCGATTGTTTGCAGCTCATGTGAACATTCAATTCTAGGGTTTCCATTTAGCTTAGTCTTGCTAACCTGTACATTAGAGTTCATCTCAAAATGATACCTGTTCTTTCAGGAAAAAAGGGCAATGTTTCTGGAGATCAGTCTTGCAAATCCCTTTTTCCTGTTACAAACAAAATGAACAGATGGCATTCACTAGCCTCATATTTATGTAAAGTATAAAATAGCGTGAACCTCCTCAGTCCTCAACTGAGATCGTTCACTATATGGAACCATGTTATGAATATTCATCCCCAGCGCACTATGGTTTCTGGCATTGCTTCCAGTAGTATTTGATGTGTTCCTTTCCTTCATGTTTTCCTGCTTTATTGTAGACTGTGGTTGATTTCTTTCCTAATCCATGTGAATGTGAACTTCCTAAGGCTGCTGAAAAAAACTTACGCTTTTGTAATTCTCCTACAGACAGCAAGAGGCAAAGGGAAAAGTTTTATTCATTTAGTAATCTGTTTTCTTTTCTTATTTTTTCCTTCAAAACTCAGCTTGGAAACCAGACAGTAACTGCCCCTGTGATGGAGGTAAATGCTTCACAGACACACAGACAAACAGCAGCAGAAGCTTCTCCACTGCCTCTTCCTCCTCCTGTGGTACCAGTTAACAGAGCCTCTTTCTCACCAGACAGTGGCACCCATCTAGTACCATATTCTTTGCCAACGCTTGATGATTTTTTGCCTTCACGCTTTTATAAAACCCCATCCCTTTCACATTTTTCATATAAATGCCCATTCCTAGCTTCTGAAAGTATTATCCACAGGAACGAAACAGCCTCTGTAAGCACAGACTCTGCCATGAGCGAGTGCTCCTCCCGCACAGTGAGTGAGTCCTCCACAGCCATTTTAGATGAGCTACAGACTTGTAGCTATGATACTACTGACTGCTCTGAAACACCTTCCCCAACCTTGAGCCAGATGTCTGCTGTGTCAGATGGCACCACCTTAACCAACACTGCTGCCACTTCTCATGTAATTATCCTTCCTTTTTTCCTCCTCCGTTTTGTTCGAACAGGTTGTCAAAGGGGAAAATAATTCAAATTTGTCTGTTGTCCCATTACTCAGATGAGTGTTCTGTTAGTAGTTTTCTAATGTTCACGATCTGAGAATACGTTTTGCAACAATTATTAACAAAAATAATCAGTTGCATAGCAGATTTGGCAATAGCCAGTGAAATGATACCAAGTTGTTGCACAGATCAGCGTTCAGCCAAGGTGTACTAACATTTAGAATAAACGAGTCATTTAATAAATACTTGTTCCAAATGCCCTGAAAGAAGGAGACCTGTTGATTTTGGAGAGATTTGTTTAAAATCCTCTCAGTGGTTTACAGGCTTGCAGAGTTGTAGCCTCTTGGCTACTACCATTTTTGGTTCATACCAAGGTACAGATTTCACTAATATAACTTGTAAATTTATAGTCAATATTGGCAATATTTAACACTTTTTTTTTTCTTCCAGCCATGACCACTGACTGCATGAAGTTGCTTCTGTTTTTTCTCCTCTAACTAACCTTCCCCTCTCTTCAGCACAGTTTCTTGCAGGAGTGAACTTCATAAATAATCTTCTATTTTCTAAGTATTCTTTTACTTTTGTCTTGGTTAAGTCAAGGAGAACAGCAGTATCCAATTACATGTTTTGTTTTGTATGTACCTGCACTTTTCTGTAGCTTAGTACACTCATGCATGGGTAAACAGAGAAGTTACAGAATTTAGGTCAAATCTAGATCACTTCTCATTTCTTTGGGGATTATCTGTATGATTAAAATGAGTCGGAACTGAGCCTTCATTTAGATTGAGCAATCTGGTGCTGAATTAAAAAACTGAAAGATGTGCTGAGACCAAAGTTTTACTGGGTCACAACAAGTGTTCTGACTTGCATGCTGAAGTACTTGTGCAATCATTTACAAGTCTAAAAAGGTTACAAGTCTATAAGGTGTATGTATTTTTTAAATTTTATATGGATTTTCTAAAAAGTAGTTTGAATCCAAAAACTTGCAAATGATCACTCAATGTCAGCTATCTGTAGTCAGCGCTCTGGATGCTGTTTAAAAGATAATAACAACAGGCATGTAAAATCTGTCATTCCTAACTCTTGTAACACAGCTATGAAACCTAAGATTTTCAGAGAATCAGTACTGTAAAACTGCCTACAGCCTGGCCATTGTAACCAAAGACAGCATGTTCAGTATAGACTGGTACTGAAATAACGCACAGTCACTACGTGACCAGCTACTGGCTCTAGGAAGCATGGAACAGCTATGTTTTCTTCTAAGCTACTTTTGAAATAATCAGCCAACTGTATTTTTCTTTGAGAAATGTTTTTGTAAGCTAAAATGAACAGTTTTATGAACAGTGGAGTTAAATGAACAGTGGAGCACCACTTCCACTCTTAGAAGCAGCCAAGCAGGTGTGAGCCTAATAGTGTTTTGCCATTAATGGATAGGGAGAAAAGGATGAGTCTTCCATCAAAGAACAAAAACCCCAAGACAGTCTTAAGATCCTTACAGAGAGATTAAGCTGCTCGCAAGACCCATCTCTTGCAGTTTAGAAGAGTGTTTGCCTCCATTCCTGTGTAGAGGAGGGCCAAGTGCCTGTAAATGTATCCACAAACTGAGAACATGATGGGGAGGCCGTGGACACACATACACACGCGCACTAGCTCCACTTCTGCAGATAAAGATGCTGTAATGATCATCATTTTCAAAGGAGACTCTGTTTTGTAAATGAAAACTGCTGAGAAAACCACAACAACAATATAGCCACAGATTTCAATTTCTTTGAAAACCTGAAGTATAAGATGAGAATTATAAAATTATAAAACAAAAAGTTCTTATTCAATTCTAAATATAATTGGAGTTAAAAAAAAAAAAAATCGGAGAACAGCTGGTTTTGTAATTTATTTTCTCCTAGATTCCATTCCAGTTATGAACGTTTCCCTTTTAAAGTAGTTTTCTTGGGTTCTTTATGTAGGTCAGAACTGTGGAATCAAATGCACTCTTAATAGAAATAAACATTAAATGTTGCCTTTTCCCTAAGCGCAGGACTCTCACAAGCTTGAAGAATTGATCCTGAATATTTCAGCCTCATAGTGTCCTGAAGCCAAGGGTGGGCTGTGCAGCGCTGTTGCACAAAGCTGCTCAGACATCTGTAGTGAGGACATCTTTCCCTTTGCTGCCTGCCTCAGCAGAGGGAGAGTCGGAAAGCTGCTCCAGTTGCAGCTAGCTGCTTTTTGGCAGCTCTGAGTCAGAGCTCCAGGCAGGTGCTGCTCCTGATGCACAAGCACCAGAAGCAGCAAGTGGAAGAAAGGTACCTGTTACCTGGAAGAAACCTTAACAAGGCAGAAGTAGGTAGCTCTGCCAGCGGTGGAGCCCCAGTGGAATATACTGGAGGAAAAATTAATGGAGAAGGAGGCTAGGAAAATGAAGAGCATGAAAGAGCTGGAGATCAACTCCCCCCTGAGCTCCATTTTGGTGGGATTGTCCAATTGTCATATATGGACATTCCACATATACCTTCATAACTGATGTCCATCAGCTACTTGTGTGCATCCTGTCACCATAACACTGAGCACTGTTTAGTGTATGAGCCGTACTGTCTGACACAGCCATTTGGTAAAGCCCATCACGCAAAGATCTAAATACCATGTTACAGAAACTCATGGGTGTAGCTTTCCAGTGTGGAAAGAACTCACACTAATTCTCTAACTCTCTTCAGAGAAAGAAACACTATAGTAAATAAATAAGATTAGAGGTTGTGGACATAGTTGCGTCTTGCCTTCCCTAGAAACATGTTTTTCAAAAATGGTAACGTGCAGGAAAAGAAAGCAGGCTAACCCCTGAACTAGGATAGAGATACTATCCTATACTAGGATAGAGAACTAGGTTCTCTTTCGAGAACCTCAACTGAAAACTTTCTTCTCTCTTGAAATGTTATCACTGAGCTTATTCAACTCTAGTATTTTAATAGCTTCAAGTACTTCTGGAGGATGGGTGTGAGAAAAGTCAACTTCATTTACGTTTTGGATCTTAACTATTAAGAGATGAAGCATTTAAACGTAAACACTTTAATGGAGACATCAGCACAATGCAAACTTTTCAGCTCAGCTCTAACAGGTGTCCTTAAAACGTAAAACCCCTGAGTGCATCTTTGAGTTCACATGGTGCCTGTATAGGAGCCAGAAAACTTGCTTTCCTCTCTTAGCCATTGGAGGCTGGAGTGTTAACAATTTTGGAGCAAATCGGTTGTTGTCAAAATACATCATGAGCCAATTACTATATTTTTAAATATAATAATAATATGCCTTTTAATATAATTTTTACTTCTGGTTTGCTGTACCAAATAATATTCTTCTATGTTAACAACATTCATAATGTCCCATATATTTATGCTGTTTTAATTCTCTTTCCTTGTTACATAAAGCTGAGCGAAGCTTTTACTGTTCCCAGTTTTGTTCAGATTTAAAGAAGATAACCATTCTGCATGAAAAGAGGGGTTGTAGAAACAGTCTCCCCCTTTTCTGTTGAAACATTTACTGCTGTTTCATTTCCATTCAATATGCCTCTTCAACATCTCTGTTTTGGTCCTTGCAGTACGCTCCCCCTATCAGTGCTACAGCCCAGGTATGGGGATTCTAAACCTGGAGGCAGGAAAGCGGATTGTTGCAGAAATATCTCCTGTGACTAAAGCACAAATGGCTTGTTACGCTGCTGTATTGCCAGTTTGCTTAGCTTTCCCATTTAACGTATTTGTTTTGTTCTGTTGTGCTGTTGGGGGATTTTGTATCAGTGCCATTTATTTTTATTGTGATAGATTGCGCTCCAGCATCTCATAATCACTTGTGCTGGCTGCCACTTTTAAAGAGACTTTGGCTCGCTTTCCTTAGCTGTTCTTAATGAGACTTTTCCCTTCAGTATGCATGCAGAGTTCCCATTAATATCAATGGGAGTCAAGCATGTGTATCAAGGGAATACGTCTCATTGAGAGAGCAATCTATGGTAGGCAGCCTTTGTCATGTTACGAGAGGGACTTTTAGTGCTGTCTTCATTTTATATTGATATCAGACTTATGCAGACCTTGTTTGTGCAGCTCCTCTTCATTGCTTTGACCAAGGTCTTTCTGTCACCTTCCCATGACTTCAGTATGCCTCATAGGCAGTGCTTACAAGGAGAAGAGGGAGGAGGTACAAGATGTGTTAGGAACATATTTTGTTTGCCTTGTGATGAGTTTTGTATTTCAGTGACTGCAGATGCCATTGCAGCTAAGTACCTGACAAGTGGTAATTGTTGCAGGGATGGCAGTCAGAGGGCTTTGTGTGTAGTTTAATGGGATATTGTTTTGTTTCTCTCAGGCTCAGATCACAGTGAATGGGAACTCTGGCACTGCTGCCAGCCCAGTGAGTCATTTTCAAAGGCCTTTTTCCCCTTCTTCAGCTTTCCCTCCACCAGCTTCTCTCAATTCCAACATTGTTATCATGCAGCATGGCAGGATGATGGGTAAGCCTTGCACAGAATGTTTATGTTATACATTATGCAGCATATTCCGATTCATTTGGCCAGGATTGCAAACAATTGCAAGAGTGCTCCATAACCATAATGAAGGTATTGTCTATTCATCTACCTTGGGGAGAAAAATGCAGGAAATAATAGCATTTATTGTTAGATATAGTAGCTCCTGAAATTGAGTCATTAAATTGTGTTGCTTACATGTATGAGAGTGACCTCACCACTTTTTCACTAATTCTGCTGAGGAAAGAGACCATATATCAATACAACTCAACTTTCACAGCCCCCTTCAGATTTTGCTCACTTTAAGAAACCAAGGACCAATTTTGTATGTTGCTTCTCCTCACAACTTCTGTAATCTGCAGTGAAAATGCTGCCACAAAGCATGAGTCTCTGGGCTTTTAAACAGGAAGTCCTGTCAGTTTATAATCTATGTGTTTTTTGTAGGGCATTGTTAATTGTTTAAGTGTTTAAAACAAAATAATCAGCCTCACAAATGAGCTTTCTGTGTTTTGTCAGTATAATCCAGTTTTACCAGGACAGTCATTTGCTTGCTGCTTTTTTCTACTACTGTTTGCATATTTAGATAGTATATACATGCAAAAACCACTTTGAATGTGATCCTAGAGTTTACTATTTTGTTGTGCAGGCAGGCAAATTAGATGACAGTTCTGGCTCTGAGACTTATGGCTTAGGTAAATGCTGTTTAACCATATCTAAAGGATAAGCACAAAACCTGTGTGCGTGGGTTTCTCCACATCCCAAAATCCTAGATTCTTTGATTGCTTCCATTTTCCTGAACTAATTCTTTATCAATTTTGTTTTAGAAATACTTGAAACAAACAAAGTATTTTCCCATGGCTTTTGCTCTTATGTGATGCTGAAGTTTTATGTTCCACAATAACAGCCTGATTTTATTCTTGCTCATGAAAAAATCCCACTGATGGCAGCAGTTTGAGGCCTACAAAGAGCGAAGGCTCAAATCCCAAATGTTTTCTAAATTTAACATCATGCACTTTGGGAAACGGGCCCAATATTCAGACATTTGCCACACAGAGATGCCCCTCACCATATATGTGTAGTACTGGATTATTTAGAGGATTTCAAACTTGAGTAAACAGCTGAAACAGTCGTGCCAAATACAACTCCGCTGTAGGAAGGGACAGAAATATTCAAACTAAAATTAGAGCTTTTAGTAATCAGAGTGTTTTTCACTGAATTATAGTTCAAATCTTTTGCTTCAGAAAAATCAAAAGATTTTAATCTCACATAAAAGGTAATTGTAATCTTCTTCAATAGCGCTAGAAATATTTACCTCCCCCCCTACTTTTATTTGTCCTGCAGTAGAAATGTCTGACAAACACTGTACCTGCTCTTGCACAAAAACGTGCTTAGTCATAATAGCCTCCTAATTATTTACTGAAACACACTGCTTGAAGGAATAGGGCTCCTTTTCCTGCGTGCAAGAGAGAAGTACCTCATTTACAATACCAGAGGGTTTCACATGACACATCCCAGCAGTGAGGCAGTTTTTGTGAAATCAATGATTCGCTCTGAATTTTAGAGGTAAATAGTGATAGTGACATATTAATTTAATTAATTATAAAGGGAGAGTTAGGAGAGGGTGACAGAAATACTGCAAGCTGGTGGGACCCAGCAGCAGCCTGCGGTATTCACCTAAGTACTGCAGGTGGATGATCAGACTACTCTGTGGGTGCCAAATTACAGAGGTTCATTTTTGTGGACTACATAAAGAGGTACTTAAACATACCAGCGTACCTTTAGGAGATGAAAGCTGTATCTAAGAATTTGTTTTTAACAAATTGTTATGCCTCGGAACTCAACGTTTCTAACACGTCATGTGAATCTTTGTGGAATGCTGAATGAAATCTATTGCTGTGCTTACAGGACAGTAATTTTCTGTATTGTGCTATTTTGGGGAGGAGGAGAAGTGTTGAAATTATATCACCGTTTCAAAGGATGAGTAGTAAAGAGACAAGTTTGATTTAAAGGAAAAAAGGCTGTGCTACCACTGTCTGTCTATAGGTTTTGCTGGATTTGTGGATTTTTTTTTCCCTTTTTCATCATAAAGAGGCTACAAAAAAGTGCCTCTAACCTAAGAAATTTTGAGTTGAATAAACATGTGTCTAGCTTTGATGATGTAAGATTAAGCAGGGGGAGACCCCAGCTAACATAATGTTTTTATGAAACGTGTGCGTGTGTGGTTCTTAGATAGTCGTCAGTCTTCATACAGCACGTTGAAATTGTAAAGCATAACTGCTGAGTATGACTATTGTATCATTATACGACATTCTGTCACGTTATCATTACAGAGTCTACAGAGACGTACTCACAGCATGTTCAGTCTGTTGGCAGCAGCAGCACCACCAGTACAATACCCATCTGTAGATCCTCAGAGGAAGAGAAAAAAATTACAGTCATTAAAGCTCCACATTATGCAGGGATTGGCCCAGTAGATGAATCTGGAATCCCTACAGCAATTAGAACGGTAGGAAATTCTGGGGAATCTGTGTATGAACTCGTACAATGATTTGATTGTTGGTAATGGGTTTTTCACATTCTTCTAGTTTTATATAATGCGGAATCCAGTGTGCGTAATCAAGAGGCTCATGAATATAATATTGTGTATTGAAGGAAAAGGAGACTGCTGATGGGAGCATAATTGGGCAACCTCATGTTTTTGGTTTTAATTATGAGTAGTCAAAATTTTGTCGCTTGTGCCTTGTAATCCTTGCCTTTTGGAGATATGCAGTAATTGCATTTGTCATGTCGTTTTTAAAGCTAACAAAAAGTTTGTACGTGCTATATATGTGTGTGTGTGTTTGTGTGCATGCAAATATATATATGCATACACTTTGTATGTATGCATACATACGTATATATAAAAATATATCTATCTCACGTTCCTGCGTTTTTGAGATGGGCGTTTTTCTCATTTCTCCAGTGTAGCGTAGAAATTAATAGTTTTGTTCTGATAATAATGCAAGTGACTAATATTGTCATGGGAGTGCAATATATGATCATTGTGCCCTTGGCTGACATATAAACGAACAGCGTGGAAACCCTTTCATTGTGACTAGCTCAATTTTCATCATCTGCCACTAGCGACTGCTTTAGTGGTCCCAGGATGTCAAACTGAAGAGTGTTTTTTTCGCTATGCTGAAGCATTCTTTCCACTTTGCTGTCAGGGCAGCCCCTTCTGGCTGGTCCAGACAGCACAGTGGCAGCTGCACTAGGTCTGTAAAGGAAGTGCTTACTGGCCTTCCCAGTCGGAGAAGAAGTACTGTGCTAGTCGGAGAAAGAGTAAGAAGAGTGGGAGCCAGGATGAAAGCAGCAGAGCCCTTGCAGGTGAAGTTTTGTGTGGTGCAAGGATGTAGCAGCTGTTGGATATATCCTCCCTGCCAACCCTGACATATGGGGCTATGTTGTAATTGCTAAGAACTGCTTCAATGGATTGAAAAATTAGGGGGAAAATCAGGAATTGATGGAGAGAGACAATAGGAAAAATTCGGAATAAGTGGTAAGATGGGGACAATTTTGATAAGAATGGGGGGGAAACTCTGGCATTTCTTGCTCTCTTTATATTAGATATGGACAAATAATATGATCAGAAGTCTTTTAAAATGAATAAATTTCACTGCAGCAGTGCTCTGGCTTCCGACCCCTTCTCCAAGCAAATATATCCCTTTACTTTTATGTAGGATAGAGTCATTGTTTTTGTTTGCTTTTTTTAAATAGCAGATTTATTTAATAGGGTGGGTATTAGTTATATAAGAGTAGAACAGAAATCCCCCTCAAGTGTGCTTAATGGAGTTGGCAAGCTGCCAACCTATATTTAACTTTCAGAGCAAATGGTCTAAATTTCTAAGATTTTCTCCTAAACGTCTGCATGCAGTTTGAATTATGACATTTTTCAGCTGGATTTGCTCTTGTTTTATGTTATGTTTCAGTTTCAAAATATCTTGCGGCTTTTAACTTTAGTATTGTAGAAATAAGTCTCATGATCGGATATGAGTTAAAAGATTATGCTTATCTGTACGTGCATGTGCGAGAGAGCGTGCGTCTGTCTTGAATGCTACTTTGTGCACTTATTCTGCCTCATTAGGACTTAGCTGGAAGTAAGATTGTTTTCAAGATAATGATCTGAGATTACATTTAATATTCACAAGTATATTTGAGTCCCCCGTACCCTTGTAGTGTGAGAACAAAGATGATATAGTTGTCAGCAAAAGACTCAAATAGGCTGCACCTCAGCAACTCTCAGGAGTGCGGTACTTTGCAGAAACATGCAATAGTGCTATAACTGCATTTCCTATGAACACGAGAAGGCAGGACAGATATGTTACTCGGTCTTTCTGCAAGGTCAGTGGGTGATCCAGATAGGAATCTTCTCCAAGAAATTTCAGACTCGCTCTGGAGGGATAAAGAAGTTTTCGGATTAGTTGAGCTTATCACTGCCCACAAAGTTTAAAAGTTTCTTATTCTTCCATCCTTATGAAAAGGGCAACAGTCTTTCAAAAAAGCAGTAAGTGCCGATTCAAATGTGATAGATAACAAGCCCATTGTGTTCTGAAACACTGTGCTATCTAAAGGGAAGCTTATGAAGAAGAATTTGGGAGTATGTGTATTCTGGATTTGGAGTGCTTTTCAGGAGTAGAGAGGTTTTTCAAGCTGTGGTGATCTCCTCCCTGTCTTCACTCTCAGAACATCATTTGCGACAGCTATTTAGCCAAGGAAAGTAGAGTGATACTCTCTTCCCTTTCTGTTCCTGCAAACTGTCTCTGTCCAAAGCTACCAAGAGGGGAAGGGTTCCTGTAAAGCTCTTCCTTCTCTGAGAACTTATATACCATGTTAGCATGCTACCTCCATACTCTTTTAGCTCCTGCCAAGCTCAGGAAAGTGAATTTTCAGGCTTCAGATTTGCAGATCGTTGTTAAGTGCTGCCACTGTGCCAAGCCCTGCCCCAAAGATGG